TGGGAATGACAAAATGCAGTTGCGAGAGGGCCCTCGTTATTCATCACAGTCCCTAGCTGACGGGGAAACGGTGAATCAACAGGGCGCAGGTAGAGTCAGGACATGGGTGAGCGTGCTTTCTGAAAAGTATGGTGTTGACATTCGCAACACGCACCGTTTGTTTCCATGGATTGTCCGACATGTGGCATGGTCAATGGCACGGTTGCATGTGAACAGTAGTAGGACCACACCATTTCGTATCATCAAGGGCCATGAGTTTTTGGTGAACTGCTGCCTTTCGGCGAATGCGTGCAAGCAAAGTGGCCTAACATGAAAGATCTGGCAAAAGGCGTTCCGCGTTGGGTGCGTGGGGTGTTCGTGGGAAAATTTTCAAGGGTCTGACGAGTTCATAGTGTTGACACCCGCACTTTGCGCACTGTACGCCGCTTGTCGGGAGACCAACGACACAGTGTTGAATGTTTGGAGTCCACAGCTGGGCTGCCATGGAACACCAAGGCGGGCAGCTCGAAAGCCCAACCAGCACTTGTAGTCAGCCAGCCGCGTGTCGAGTTCGTACCGGTGGTGCCCAAGCGGTCGTCGCGCAACAGCCGGACACAGGTCCAAAACAAGGAGTGGGAGCGCGCGACGCACACAGACGGGAAAGAAACACAAGCAAGAAACCCTAACTACGAGCGGAGGAGGACCTGGATGTGAGCATGTTCCCCGCGCAGCCTCAAGGCCAGGTACCTGAAACTTTCAACATCGCCACACCCCGGCGCAGTTCAGTACCTTCAAGCCCCAACAGCCCCACAACTCCGGCCACATCGGTTAGGAGTAGGTCACCGCCACGGGAATTGCCGGGTGAGGCGGGTAACACCGCACCAAGCGACGTCGCAGGCGAAGGGGGGATGGAGGTCGAAACCGGTGCACACAAAATATCTGGGATTTCTGACGAATTGTTGCCCAAATTTGTTGAAGGCGACGATGAGAATGTAGTTGCAGATGTTGTGGAGTTTTCAAACATTCGGGTTTTCAACCATGTTTGGGTTGACAAAAAGCGTAATGGAGTAGCCAAGAGTAGACTCACATGTGCAGATGTGAAGCACAAGCAAACCCCAGAGCAACGGTTGAGTTCCGAGGGCCAGTCCAATTTTTGCCCTACACCCCATCCAGCATCATTGAAATTTTTGTGGCAACGCGCGCCCGTCTCGAGGAGTAAATGCTTTGAATACCTCTTCCAGTTTTTCAATTTCCTGCAACCTTGCCATGTGCCTTTCTTCTGGTGACAAACACGCGTCCAGGAAGTTTATTCTCTTTTGAACAAGCGCGCGAAAGCTGATCTGACCAGCGCTTTCCTGATCGCCCGCGACAGTGGAGATGACCAAGGCCAACCCACTTGCCTCAGACCACCTAAGGCATGGTTGATCGGTTACGAGTCTTGGTTAGCAAAGCAAAGCCCAAAAGTGCAACAAGAATTGGCAAATGTCCCGAAACAACACATTGTGTGGCAAGTAGATGGAAATATTTATGGGCGACAGCCAGCTGCCGCTGCGTACAGGCAAGAGTTGGAAAACATTTTTGTTGAACAAACTCAACCCCACGAAGTACAAGCTTCAGTGTGGTAGGATTGATGCGTGCGTTTACCACTGATCTGAGTACCTCGGTCGGGAAAAGTATACAATTGACCCGTGTGTTGTGACCAAACCAAACGACAAACATGTGCAAAACATTTTGGGGAAACTCGGGATGGAAAATGCAAACGCAGGAGTGTTGCCAGGAACAGGTAGCACGGATCTTCTTTCAGAGTCCGAAAAGGAAATCTACGCATCGTGTGTAGGTTCGAGCGTTTATCTAAGTCAAGACCGGGCAGACTTGAAATTTGCAGTACAGGAGTTGTCCCGACGTTTGCATGCACCTAGGCGTTGTGATTTTCAGAACTTGAAGATTTTTGCACGGTATTTGATTGGAACAAAGAACTATGACACGTAAGTAGGCTGGTTGATGGTTTAGACCCCCGTGAGCCATTGCCATTGCATGCTTACACCGACAGTGATTGGGCTGGACGCGTGGAAACCCGCAAGTCCAGTTCAGGCGAGGTAATTGCGTTGGCAGGTACAGTGGTTGAGACAACCAGCACAACGCAACCGGGCGTCCCTGCAACCAGTTCTGGTGAGGCTAAGGTGCGATCTTTAATGCACTGCGCTCAAAGTTGCGTGTACGTGAAAAATCTAGCCCACGAAGATTTTGAGATGAAAATCGATACACCACGTGTTTGGTGTGATTCTTCAGCCGCGTTGCAAGCCGCCAAGCGCATAGGGCTAGGTAAGATGAGACATGTTGCTGTTCGACACATGTACATTCAGGAATTGGTGCGTACGAAACAAGTCATTATTGGCAAAATTGATGGGAAACAAAACCCAGCAATCACAATGACGAAGCATTTAACTACTGCTAGTGAGATGTTGGGATCCTTGGATGGATTAGGCGTAATTGACTTGACCGACAAAGGTTTTGAAGAACATGTACGTCAAACAAAATTGCGAGTTGTTTCAAGCGTTTGTTTCAAGAAGTGGAAGCCACTCACGGCGTCGAAAACGACATCGCGAGAGCATAATGGAGCTATCTTGCGTGGACGTAGGGCGCTGCTTACACAGTGGCGGGAAACACCGCACCGCATGTGAAACAATGACACAGTACAGTTGCGAGCTTAGAGTCGGACTTCGTAGTTGGAAACTCAGCTCTGACATTTGTATAATCAAGACAGGTACTTCCCCTTCGTTAAATGGCTGGCAAGACTGCAGAGGTTCAGTATCTGTGGAACTGCAACGCAAACGAGCAAGACCAAGGCTTGAAAACAAGGGCACACGCATAGGCACAACGTGACAACGCTTCGAAATGATTTGGTTGTTGTTCTCTGGTGACATGCCCGGATGCAAAGCGTCCATGGCAAGCAAAATGTGAATCAAGTGCTCCAAAGGGGGGTGAAAGAAATTCCCTTAAACACCTTTTGTCCTAAGTGGCAAGGTTGGAACACTTGTTGTATAGTTTTGAGCCCAACACGCACAGCCCCTGTGGCTCAAGTGAAAAGTAGTGAGTCCGCTTCGCACAAAGGGGAGCAGAAGGTCAACGGCGCATCAACGACGCCGTGTGGATCTACCAGGACGAAGTGAGCCACTTGCACACTGATTCAACGTGCATTGCGAGCGTAGGGCCTTTGACAGCGGTCCGCAGCTGTTGCTTCTGCGGTGGAGAAAGCGTCTCTAGATGAAACGGCTTGAGCTGAGGGCGCGACTTTCCTCGAGCAGTCCAAAACGGACTGGGGCAGGAGTGCACGTGAGCGAAAGCCGCGCTGCACTCATCGAGAAGTGTACCAGTTCCATAACTTGGCTTACCCCACCCTCCTTTCAAACGGTCATTGGGTCAACATGAGCGCTCCAGCGCGCACATGCCAAAAAAACATTATAAGGGGCCAGGTTTGCAGGGGAATGTTGGACGCTTTATAGAAGAGCTGGCAATGACGGACAACAACACGCTGCAAACAAGAGTGTGCGGCGAACGATTGTTTACCACAGGAAGGCACGGAAACATGTTGAACCAGAAGAGGTGATGTAGAACTGAGAGGTTGAAGGGATAGAGAGTTGAGCAGTTGACCGTGTTTGTTGGAACGACGTTTTGAATTTTGACAAGTCAGCGCGACAACACGACACTACTGGACACAACTTTGGTGCCCACAATAACTGAAGCAGGTGCCAAAAAGAATAATTCATAAGCCTTGCGCGTTAGATTTTATGACAGAATGATTGGACACGTTCCCTGCACATTTACATCTCCGCCTAGAAGATGGTAGTGAGATGCAATTACAGTAGGGTCAAAATTACGGTCACGCACTGCCTAACGTTTTAGGCAAGCGTGTTGTGATTTTATTGGTGTGAATATGTGTGCAAAATGCACAGCTGGCTAGTTGAAAACTACGTTGTAAGTTGTACTGTGTAAGACTTTGGGTTCAAACAAGCGCTTCCCAACGGTACAATCAATATTTCACCTATTGTATCCTATTGTTGCATCGCCCAACGCATGTCCGGGCTCCCGCTTGACTAGGGGAGCCACCGCGCGCCCTGCGTGAGGTCCGCGAGGATGGCGGGAGTGGCCGCCCTGCTCAAGGAGCTCGAGCAGTGTGGTGGCGAGGCTGCCCTGTCCGTGAGGGGCGTGCCGATAATCATGTCCCGGAGCAACACATTGGCTGCGACACGCACGCCGCCCTCAAAGCAAATCGCTGTTGCAGCGCGCTCGAGCGCAGCCGCACGGCGGACGAGCACCCCACGCTGTGGCGGGGAGGTAGTCAGGGCCGCCGCACCACCAGGGCCTCCTTGGGACAGGAGCAAGGACCGAGATGTGGGATCGAGGTCCGAGACGTGCAATTCAAGAGCCCGCCTGTCCAAGGATGGCGTGCGAGACACTGCAGCACGGCGGTATCATGGGCCTCTGCGAACGTGTCCGTGTCCGCCGGCGGCATCTGGCGGCAGGACGCCCAACAGGAAATTCTAGCGCGGGAGGCCGCACAGCAGGAGGAGCATCCACGCCGACTGCAAGCAAGGGATCGCCGGGACACGGTAGCTTGGCTCTGGTAGTTAGCGTCGCGCGAATGATTGCACTTGGTCGTCTTGCTCCAGTAGCTGCGCCACGGCCCTCTGAGCAGCCAATCACTCTTTTGGTCGCACAAGCGTTCCATCTCTGGTGTCGCTCACGTCGCTCTACCTGATTTCTCAACACAAAACACGTCGCATCACATGTTTGTTGGTGGCATGGAACTGTGAGGAATCTGGGTGTCAAAGCCACAGCCACAAACCAAGTTGCTACCCACTGTTGGCGGGGGCCTAGGCTGATGCTTCCGGTGGCCGTGTTACACAATGCCGAATAGTTGGTGCTCGTCGGCTTGGGTGAACCAATCTCAGAACCACAAGTCCAAACGAAACCAGTGTACTGCACCCACTCCAAAACTAACGTCGGCAACAATCACACGCCTCCTTCCTGATGCAACTGTCAGTTCGGAACGCCGCACCGCACGGCCATTGAAGCGCGCGACGAAGACAAAATACATCGGAGGGGTTCCGTTTTGGCTCAAACCCCAGCGATCAACGGAGGTTTCTCGGGGAAAGCCATGGCCACGGGATGTGAGAGGATGTGACGTAACAAGCACAGAGAGCTTTCAAGACTTCCTGAGCTGCTCAACGAGGCAAGCGCTGGACATGTTTTGAGATCATTTGAAGTTTAGTTCCCAGATCAAACTACACTACAGCCCGTCTTAGTGTTGACTAGTAGTGATCGTGGCAATAAAGTTGCATGCGTGTACTGTCCTTTGCACACAACAGTATCGGTCTGTGCACAACAGTATCGGTCTGAGGAAATGAGGAAACGCAGTGGCTCGAAGCAGTGGGTGCTGGCAAGGCGAAGCGTTGCCGTTTAGGCGCTTTGCGCATGGGACGTTCCGCGGGCCGCACGTGCAGAATGAGCTTTATCCTCGCAGGTGTCTGTGATCCAAAGAACGCGTGAGTCGCTCCTGCTAGCCTCAAGCTATGGAAATACTGGTAGATTTCCAAGCTCTCAGGTAGTTGCCGTCAATTGTAGCTGCATTGTAGCTGAGAACTGCTTCCTCCAGCATTTTTTCCGCCTGAGCAGTTAGCCTTGTAGCTGTGCTGTGAGGGTCAGGGTCACCCACAATAAGGAGAAACAATGCTGACCCATTCAACCCACATAGAAGTTGTTTCTCGTCAAACTTGTTCACATCAAACAGGAGTGACACCTCTCAGTCTTTTTGGCGGCGCTTCAGGCATCAGAAAGCCTTCATCTGGCAGTTGTCACTTGATCTTCTTGACATCTTGATCCATCAGATCATCCGTTAGATCATGTTCAGTTTTATTCCATTTGTTTGTAGGTGTTGTTCTTCCCGGTCTCTGAATGCCTGGTGTTTGGGGTGTTCGGGGCCTCTGAATCGGCCGGAGAAACTCCACTCTCAGTCGCCATCGCCAGCGTCCTGGAGACCAGGACCCGTGCACGTGCGAGGGACGCTGAGCGACACGCTGGGGGCATTTTTCACTGGTGTCGGACACCCAACCCCAAAAAAGGCTGGAAGAAGGGTGGGGGAGCGAACTGAGGCGACGCTGCTGGGTCTCCTTGAAAACTCCTTCAAACAAGCTGTTTGAGGTGACTGAGACCAGTAACAACTCGAAAGTCCTATTTCCAGACTTGAAAAAAGCTTGTTGAAAGAAAGAAGTTTGGGTGTCACGGTGTCTACAGTCTTTCAGGTTCCCCCGCAAAAAGATTGTGGTGAGTTAGATAGTACAACTCGCACGGAACCATGTGGCAACCTAAAAGTCGACCCCTCAAACTTCCCCATCAGATCAATCATTATCCAGTCTTCCTCAAGCAGAGCAGCAGAGCACATGTCGCCGCAACACACAGAGGGCTCCAAGAACAAAAGGGACGAGTCTCCGAGAGTCTTAAAAATTACTCCAGGAACTGGAATCAAAAGAACCAAAAATAAAATGCACTTCAACCTCTGGTCTACTCTTTCCCATCCAGGTTCCAACACTGATTTTGGTGAACTACTGCATGAGTCGCGCTCCTCTTGGGCGACCTTCTTCCCGGGCTTCACTTCTGGAACGAAGGGCCCCGCTTGATCCACGACGTCCTCGCGCGATCGATGAAATCTGTCTGAAAGGCCAGAGGAACTGCCAGTATGTTGTCAACCTGTCTTGATGTCAAGAGTCCAGAACTGCTACTGTTGCTCAGAAAGGGAGGAGAAGAGGAACGAACAGAAACAACCAGCTCACCTAAGACTAGAGTCAACTTGGATGAAAGGGGAAAGGAAGGCCCTAGTCAAAAAACACAAAGAAACCTGGTCCCAGTTGGAACCTGGAGACGAAGAGACAAGACTTGAGACTTCATCGACCTGCCACTAGACCCATCCGGTGAAGCTCCACAGCTCACCCCGGCCTGCCACTTCATGAGGGTACGCTTCTCGGTGATCACGGGCGAGAAGCGCCAGTTGGGGTCGTTGAGAGGCGGCTGACCTCGGCAACCACCACCGCTGTGGCGGCACCTTGGCTATAGATGGCTAATAGGCGTTATATCGGAACAATGCGAACACACGATTTGGCCTATTTTGAATTGTGCAAAGAAACCTACAAACTGCAGCAATATTGTGATGAGCAACCCACCGAGCCATCCCCATTTTCCGCCATCGCCACCATCCCCAGTCGTTGGGTCCCCCGTGCGGTACTTGGTGTGGATCTCAGGCTTGATACCCGAGTCGTAGTTGGGCATCAGATCCTCCGCGCTTGGGCATCTTGGGGGACCACACGGTGGTCTATTCTTGGTCATTCTTGGCCAAGAACTGCAGAGGTACTGAAAATACAGAAACAGCCCATCAACTTCTGGTTTTGTGTGGCGTTCCGCTTGTCTTTCGGTGCAAAGGCTCTTGGACATCAGGAACTCGAAGCCCGTACCGTCGGTGAAGCCCCAAAAACAAGAGTCAAACCTATGCACCCACCCAAAACTCGAGCTCAAACTCCAAGTCGCGGGTTTCTGCACGTGCACGTTGCCCAAAAGTTCGATCTGGGGAGCACGTGCACAACATCGGCGCTCGGATTTGAGTGTTTGTATAATAGTAATGTAGACTCTTGATTCATAATGCCCCCGCATGAAGAGTTATTTCATCCAAATGGAAACGTTTACTAATCAAGAGTGTATACATTACTAGTCTTGCCCTGCCCAGCCTGCCCCGACTTCTTTCCTTGTGACGACATGAACGTGGCTCCTCAATGGGCGGCACCAGGTCTGCAGGGCTGGGTTTCACCGCGTCGGCCTTCTGCAAGTGCTTGGGGATTTGGACCACCGCCTGACCGTTGTGGCGGAAGTGTGGCAGAACTGCCGCCCGGGGCGCCCAAAAGGAGCGAACTCCAAAGTATCCCAATCGAACAGAGCAAGTGCCATGACCAAGTGAGTCAAATGAGTTCCAACAAAGCAGAGCCCAAAAGAATCGCTCGCAAAATCAGAGCTGCTCAACGCCCGTCTTCCCACCCTCTTCCCACACCACCCTCCGCACCTGGTGGGCATGTTCGAGCTCGACATGGCCACGGAAACCGAAGGCCTTGGCCGAGAGCACGATGTTGTGGTCCTGCCGATGAAACCAGGGCGGGCAGCCCGACGAAGGCAAAGGTCTTCGACAAAAGGCAGCTCAAAGGGAGGTCAGGCAGATCAAAGATGCGAGCACCCTTTGATGATCCCTGATCATGGCTTTCGGCCCCTGCACATGGCTCTCGTCCTCTTCCTGGAATTTCACAAAGCCTGGGAACTTCTCGGCCCACTCGTACCAAGGCGTGGGTTCCTGGACGCTCCATTGTGAGACAACAGCAACAAATCCCAGAGGTGTTGGACGATTGTCGAGAGTGATGAGCTCAAATGCACGCTCACAAGCTCCTTTTCTCGGACTGACTCGCTTCAATTCTTCTCGAACAGCATTGGACTCTGGACACGAGCACAGGACAAACCAGGAAAAAGCACAGGCTAAACAGGCCAAGGCCACGAGATCCATCAAGTCTTCTCGGCCACCCAGGATCTCCACGTGCCGCTTGGGGTCCGGAACCATGAAGCCTTCGGGGATATAGCCTGGGCCACGTCTCGGACGACGCAGATGGAGAAAGGAAGCGACTCCAGGCAACGCCAGGTGGAAGCCGACTGGCTGTGAGTGGAATAGACCGGCAGCTCATGTCATGTCCAAAGCAAACACCTCATGTCGATTCTAGTGTCGGTTTGGTGGTGCCTTCGAGTCACTCTTTTCTGAAAGCAATGGGGGTCGCTCACTCATCATATGCAACCGCGCCGACCCCGCTTATCTCACTGTCTTGAAAGGACAACAACATGAACGAGAGAATTGGCAGGGCTCATTTCCAGCAGCTTGGGAGAGGGGTGTGAAAAACCTGTCAAGCGTCGTGACCAACTCATGAATCAATGAACATCAAATCGTGACAGCACTTTGGGTCACAGGCTGTCGGGGGAAGATCCTCTTGATCTCCTGCAGCACTTGGCGGTTGGAAGGCTTCGGTGGTGGGGGCCATCTGTAGGAAACGTGATGGCATGAAAGCGTTTGTCAATGGCTCTCTCTTTCATCGCAAAGTTGTTGCATGTTTTGTCAATGGCTGGGCCAAACTTCATACGACTTCTACTTTCCAAGTCCTTCAGACTTGTTCTCCATTGTTGGCAAATGTATGGTCAATGCTAATGGCTATGACGACATCTGAGACAACATGCTTTAAAAAAGCACACCCAGTCACACGCAACAGTCCTTTTGTTTGTCATGTTGTATGTGTTGTATAGGCCTTTCTTGTCTGCCTCTGGATCTGCAACTGCACCCGCCACACCGCGCCTCCCTCCGCGTTGCGCACGCATCTCCGCAGTGGGCTCCACTGAACCTCAGCTGGGCACGCGCCCAGAACTGCTAAGACCCGCTAAGACACTGGGAAGTACCAAGGCCTTGGGTTCCGCGTCACGGGTGTCTGTTTCTCCACACGTGCATCGGGTCGGAGACTGCTTCAGAGAGTCAGGATCATGCTCCAAGGTGGCGCGGCCACCCAGAAGGGATGAGAACAACACGGGGAACAACACGGGCGCCATATGTTCAAAGAGCTGGGATGGCTTTAGATGGTTTCACGTGGTCTGAAGTCGTATCTCTTGGTGAAAGTCGAGGTCTATGGATGCGCACTTGGGCGTCTTGGAAAAGCTGCATATAGATGTAATCGCTGATGCCTTGCAAATCAGGAGTCTGATGTTGAAGAGGAACTCGGAACCCTGTTTTTGTAGAAGCCTATTTTGTCTGAGACCAAATCCAATTAACTCACCATCATTGAACATTTCGGACTATTGACGATGTAAGACATATTGAAAATTGCCCTAGCATGTCTTGCATCATTGTCTTTGGTTCTTCCAATCAAGTGCGGTGTAGCCATGGATGGATGGACCATGCTACAACAGGTCTGTATCCACTCAAATTGTTTCGGGTCATGAGGACTCTTGGAGGAAGGACCCCTCGGACACCCCAAGAACTTCCCGTGGCACTCCGTGGCGCTCCGTGGCGCTCCACTTCAGAGTTCCCCTCCGGGGCGTCGGGCTCACGGTGACCCGGTTCGCTTCCTCGTCGACCCGCACCACCCAGACCTCCGCCCGGAACGAGCCGCGGGAGGGAGTGCCGTTGAACGGTTCAGCCCGTTCAGCGCGAAAAAAGGGATGGTCTGCGTACTGTGTGTTGCATGGTTTGCTTGGATGGGTGGGTGGGTGGAGGGCCAATTCTGAGCCTTGAAAAATCAGAGTCACCTCAAAAAACGAACTCATACAACTCATTGAAGAAGACTTGCGACCGGCAAGAGTTGGGTTTGGACACATGCCAGGTGGATCAAAGGATTCTTTTCGTTCTCCTTCACACATGACCTCTCGAAAAATTCCGTCATCTCCGAAGTGGGGGGTGCCGATCTCGGAGCTGACCGACGGAACCGAAAACAGGTCCGACCCTGGTCCTCTGGTCCTCTCAAAGAGTTGGGTCCTCAACCCGCCAGGCTCGGACGTCCCAGGCCTCAAGCTCCTGGCCCACCGCGAAGGCAGCTCCCGTCTGGCCGGAGGTGGAAGCGGTCTTTCTGGGGCGGCGGGCGAGTTCAGGGACCAAAAGCGGAACACGCCGCGACCCTGATGAGATCCTGGGGTCTCTTTGGTGCAAGAGGTCCAAGGTGTATGGTTTGAATCAAAAGAAAATGAAATCGAAAGGAGTGGGTCTCACAAGAAAGAATGTTCTGCGATCCCTGCAAAGCCACCAGCCAGCCGGAAACGTCAGGCTCATGGACCCCCCACCAACGAGCGAGAGAAATCCCCTGTTCCGACCGGCGGACGGATGGCGGACCGCTACGTGCTAAAGCGGTAGCCCATGGCCACCACTCTGAGGAACAGGACATGGAGGTGTTCCCAGTCATTTTCCATCTTCGAAGAGGTCCAGAGGTCGACCGTCCCATCACCATCGACCGCTTCGGAGTGCAACCCACAGCGGCTGTTTGAGCTGAGGGTGAACGTCCTTTTGCGCACCTTCAAAGTCGATATGGACTTCGAAGACTGCCCAAGTGATCAAGACTCGTCCAGAGATCCAGGGAGGGTCTGTTGGGTCATTGCGGATCTTGGATAGACAGGTCAGGTATATAGAGCATGATCAGAGCATCACATCTCCAATCATGCCGGACGAAAACCCACCAATGGACCAATAGAATAACATCAAGAATCTGAACAACCAAATATTCAAATCAAGAAACAAGCGTAAAACTTGTACAACACCAACTGCTGGGGCTCATGTTCTGTGCTTTAAGCCTTGACGTATTTCGCCCTCATCCAACCTTCTGTACGGGAACAAGCCTGCTCGCCCATCATGGCATTGGGCATGAGAGCATCGACGCGGCCAAGGCCGATGTCAACAAAGGCCCCGTAGTCCTGCGGCACAAACCGCCAACCAACAAACCTAAGTGCCAGGGAGCTTGGGAGTCTAAACAATATATTATATAATTAATTCAGGATATCAAACCAACCATCTGGAGCTGGCTCAAACTAGAATCTGGAACCAACCTTGCAAGACCATGCTGCTGCAGGAATGGCTCAAAGCAGTGATAGTGGCTCAGACCAATGGATCACAGGTTCCAGACAACCTTCAGACTTCCTTGCGCCGCTACACCGCGTGCGACGCGTGCAACACGCGCCCGACGCGACGTGCGACGCGTGCGTCCCACGGTCCCGCACTGCTCGAATTACCTCAGATGAGGTTCAATCTGAAGGACCCGCCAGTGGACTGGAAGTGGTTGGGTCTTGAATATTTGGTCATCTGGTGAAAAAACAAATTGACGCAAACAAAGGCAGACTCAATGTTTGGGCAAGTTGGGGTGTCTCCCTGTTTTGATACGCCAGGCAGGCAGTCATGGTTTAGCCGCTTCGAAGTTGTTTTGTGGAGGAGACTTGCGGACCGGGAACTCTACGGACCCCGTTGGCTAGGACGCTGCCGACGCGGCGACCCATTTCCTCGACCCTCGGCGAACCGAAATTCATCGGTTACCCACAGACGACGACATGCGACGACCCTGCGACGGCCGATCGCCCAAATCTCAGGCTGCGGCCCCCTTGATTTGTTTGTTTTCCTGAATGCATCGGCGTTGGGTCAGGCAGCCAAAAGAACCCTAGGTATACCGTTCGCATATAGACGAAGGTTTTTATCCAAAACAACACCCTGACTGTGTGTCAGATCCCACGGACGGGGAGCTGTAGACTTTGTCTCACTTAAAGAAGCTCTCTCACCCAAGTCAGGCTCAGCCAAATGTCGCTGTCTGAAAAGCTCCAGAGAGAACTGCAAACCATGGATTTCCAGGTTAATGCAAAAGCTGCCCACCGAAATCCAAGAACACATGGGTACGCTATATTAGCTATATAGAGGAAAATGATGTGCAAGCTGTCTATTTCAAAAGTATCTGTTGGCTTCTGGTATGGATGACAGCAAAGGTGCTCAGGCTCTGTTGAGGTTATTATTGGAGGAACACCTTGACCTTGTACCACTTTAGGATGCTGAAAAGGGATCCTCGATCATCCAGTGAATGAATGGATGAAGAGGCCTCCCCCCAAACGTAGGATCAACCCAATACTTAACTCCCAAAACCCAACGATGATCAATCCAGACTCTCGCAGAGTCTCAATTCTCAACCGGTCAATCCTGGTCAGGTCATGTATAAACGCCACTGGGCCCCGGCGAAGAGGGTGGCCCCGGAATCCGCGAAAGCCTGGGGACCCCGGACCACCAAATCCGCAAAGGTGATGGTGGCCTCAGAGCCCTCTGCTCCAGCCTTTTGAGACACCTTGCGGCGAAAGGAGAGTCTTCGGCTTGGTGCGGAAAATCCGATGAGATGCGGTGTGTGTCTGATCACAATGAGCAGCTGACTGAGAAAAGTGATGGAAAATGGTCTCCCCCAATGTCATTCATCTACAGTAAACCACCAAACTAGCATGTGCAATCGCCTTTCAACCATCTACAGTACTACTACTCTGAACCAGCCCAATAGCAAGGATGAGAGACTCTCTTATCCAACTGGTTTCATCCAACTCCCTTTTTCACTCAAAGTGTTCTTGTCAGAGCTTGGCACAGCAAACATGCCCTCATATCTGGGCCCCCCAGCCGAAATTCGGTTCTCGTCAGCATTCAACCGACTGATCCGGAGCTTCAGCACCTGGAGAGGCCGTTGATTCCTGCGAACGACGCCCCAAACCGCAACCAACCGAAGTTGGACATCCAAACCATCCACAAATGGCTGTGGCTTCCATGAGCCACCTTGCAAAGGTCGGTCAAGCTGCATGGGCTTGTTCTCCAGGCCACAACGGCTCGCCACCGCCCAGGGCCTCACTCGTCCGATCAATGTCCCGCGCCTCGCCCTCGCTGTACTCGGCCAGCTCTTTGTCCAAGAGAGCGGCCGGTGCCAAGGCATCCACGCACCTCGCTGGAGCGAACGTGGGCGTTCGGAACGAGGGGATGCGTTAACAGCATCCAAAATGGAAAGAAAGTGTCAAACTGTGCTGCCCATGCTGTGTTCTCTCTCTCTCTCTCTCTCTGAAAGACCCCAAAAAAAAGGTTTGGGGAGTATGGCTTACCTTTAAGTGAGTTATATAGTTGACAACTCATGGAAAACAGATGATAAAACTGGATGAGCTACGAACACCATCTTGTTTCGTAGACAGTTTCAGCCCAACCAAACTTGGATCTCCGACGCTCCGATATCTACGAAGAGGCCGAAAGGCATCAACTTGGAAACCTGTCCAGCGCCGTCGACTTCCAACGTCTGATGGTTTTGCTTACAGTAACGAAACGTAAGTGCCCTGTCCGGTGCTGCCAGTCACCAGCTCCGACCACCAATCCTATATGCTCCAAAAATGCCTCCAATTCACGTTTCAGGTCTATTCGAATCCACAGATTCTGCATGACATTCTCCAGCTCAAGAGAGCGAACGAAAGGGCCCAGCATGGCCCTTCCGGTCCGGACTTCCTTCCACGATGCTCAGTCTGAGCACCTGATTTCAAGGAAAACCACCAGATATTCCCTCACCTGGGATGCCAAACCCACCACCCACACCACCCACACCACCCACACCACTCCGCTATCCACACCACGCCGCGTCCTTCGCACCGTGTGGTCACGGTGACGTTCACACGCCTTGCCCGTGACCTCGTCGCCCACAGTGAACTCTCCAGCAGTGGGGCGCATCGACACCCCCAGCCGTTGGCTCTCGAGGTTGACCTGGACGCACAGGTCATCGCCCCGCAAGGAGGGTTGGCTTCGAAGAGACAGGTTTTGGCAGCGACGTGAGTCTTGAACTGACTTGTTCTCCACCAGATGGTTAGTGCAGCTCCAGCCCTGCAAGCAAAACCCCAACAACTAGTCATCGCCGCTCAGGTACAGGGCCTAACTTGTGGCCCATGATCACCCTTTTCCACACCCAGCTGAGCAGTTCTTCCCACGTAAACCTGGTGGCTCCTCTTCCGAACGGGACCCGGCCTCGCTGATGCGAAGGCCTCGCGGATTGGGCGGAAGATCGAAAGCCCCAAGCTCGAATGTTCACCATCTGAGCGATGGAACCGCTGAGAACACATCGATCTGCATGTGTGTTTGACGAGAAGCCAAAGAGTTCCAAGTTCCAACTAAAGAAAGCCGAAAACGGTTCGGATACCACACCTGTGAGCACCATTCCCTGCTGGTAGGACTCCAGCGGCTTCTCCAACTGGCTCAAAGCCTCGTGATTCAGGGACAAATGTCTTCGCGTCGTCCAGCAAGATCCACAAGTAGCGAGGGGGTGGTGATGCCTACAAAACCATTGATGCCACACGACCATTGTACCTAGTGGCCAGTGCCTTGGAATCTGACCACTGGCCTTTTGCAAGAGTTGCTTGTGGGATCTTGGGCGCGTTGCTCCTCCACACATGTCAGTAAGCCCCAAACGACCCATCGTCTAGTTCATCCTGCGACCTGATCCCAGAAGCTCGCCCACGTCAACCGGCCGCGCGAGCAAACAAGCACCGGGCATAAAGGGCATCCCGCTCTGCCCCGATATCGACGAAGACACCTCGACATGGCAGTTGGAGACAAAATCATCAAAGTCAATTCCTCATGGATTGCCATGAAAGTCGCTTTCCACACTCTAAGAACCCGTGTCTAAAGCAAGTGGATAGAACGTCTCCAAGACACAAAGTACTGTTCGCTCTTCAGGTGAAAACATGTTATACAATATAGTCCACTAGTCAACACATCCCCCCACATGGCTGCTTACGTAGTGACTTGGCACTAACCCTAATTACAGGTGGCAAACGGGTGGCCTTATTCAGCATCTCTCTCTCTCTCTCTCCCTCTTTCCCTCAACTCATTTGGCATCAAAACAAACCTGATTCGCCCAACTAGTCCGACTAGTCCACACAAGTCCCATCCACAGGGATAGCACAGAACTCACCCAGAATCTTCAGGTTCTTTGTTCCCAAAAAGGTGATACTTTCCCAGCATAGTCCAGGCTTTCCACTCATTTTTAGCCACGGCACCGAAGGCCATGGAGCGTGTCACTGTGCCCTTCACTTCGTCACCCACCTGGCACCCGCACTGCTGTTCACCGGTGCTCCCCACGGTTCAGAAAGAAGATGTCCCACTTTCTGTCGGAAATCGCTGGTGTCACGTCTTATGTTTCTGGAGCAAAAGGGTCAAAGGTTGTTCAAAGGAGGCCGGAATAGAGTCTACGATCTATCTATCATGTGGCCAATATAATATATGACCCGTGAGCTTCCACGCTTTGCCTTTAATTAGTTGAAAACTTTGAGTCCCGATATGAAGGTTATGATTCGATGAAATCGATGATCATTTGCTGCTGAGACACCTTCAGAGTGCTCATCGAAACACCTTGGAGCCAGTGGATTTCCACGCTTTCGCCAAATCTGTGCCTTTTGGCCATGGGACCTGAAAACCAAAACAAACAAAATCAGAATTAAATACAATACCAACGACTAACGAACACTAGTGACCAAATCCTGGCATCTGTCATCGTCTGTCATGGATCGGGACCGACCAGGCCGATGCACTCGCTCCTCGACTCCTTGACTCCCCGACTCGCAGGGCTCACAGGACCAGATCGCTGGGGCCCTGGCCGGTCTCCACCACTTGGGCCCCGGGGATCACGACCTGCCAACGTGTGTTCTCGAAACAGAAAAACAGAGGGGCGGCCGGTGGTCCCATATGCTTGGGCCACCTTGGCCCACCTTGGGCCCTTGTTTGTGAGATGATTGAGATGCTGAGATGCTATCACCTCGTCTTCCATCCACCTCTGAAACTAAGCCGCCTCAACGACGCCCGCCATCGGATCCAGCCGGGTGATGATGAGGCCTTCGACCTCCGCGCACTCCCCACTCGCCCAGGACGCGCGGAGGTAGCGACGGCCGAACGCCAAAATGCCGCATTAGAGAAAAGGGCGGTGTGGGCGGGTTGAGCATCTTTGTGAATCTCGTAAAACATCACAACATCCATCTAACAAACAGGACACGATTGGAACATCGATGAAGACCTCGACAGAAAGCTGTGCTGCGACTCTTCCCATGTCGCCCGTCATGGAATCATTCTTGAGTTGAACCCAGAGTGACCTGCCGCGAATGTATAAATGATTGCTGGATACTCCGAATCCGAATTCAATGTTACTTTAAAGTAAATAAGAATAGTCCCAAGCTCAGCAAGACGCCGCCGAAAAACGCAAGAACATCATCTCAGTTGCCTCTTCACCTGCCGTGAACTCCTCCAGAGCACGGTCATCAGAGATGTTGCTCGCAGAATCACGACCAAGTGACCACAGTGACCTCGCCTTTCCACGACGAAGTTTGCTACAAGGCTTATCCTGTCCAAAGTCATAGCTACAAACTGCTGAGGAAACCATATTGAAGCTCCCACATGTTCCTACATACTTCCTATGTTCGGGCGCCGTGGGACGGGTCTCCTCCGGCTTCTTGGGCAGCACCGTAGCACCAGGCCCCCGTGAGCGCCACAGGGCGGGCTGAGCACGGAGTCGGACTCACCATGGAACTCATCACATCCCCCACCGGCCACCTGACCTGAGAAAAATATGGAAAAAACCTAACATTGAGCACTCCAACTATATTATATAACGCGACAAAAATGCTCCAACCCTGCCCTATACAGTCACTATAGTCAACATCATGGGGTTGAACAACACGAACGATTCGGTCCGCACTCGTGCACTCATCGGTGTCTGCACCGTGACCAGCGGAGTGTGAGAACACACAGCCGACAAGAACAGTCTGAACCCTCCCGAACTGGTGGGTGCAATCTCCACAAAGCTCGGGCAAATTTGTGGCTTCCCATGGATTTCCGCCCCCCCCCCCCGCCAAAACCGCCCCGCCACCACCCCCCCCCCCACCCCCGGCACCTTGTCGGCGCCGATGTTCACCAGAACCCCGAACTCCGTGGCCCGGATCACCTGACGCCGCCGCCCGAGGGCTGCCTCGCTCTCGCTGCGACCGTATCTCGCGACCCCGCGTCTCGCGACTGGCCTTGCCAGTGACTTCTTGGCCACGGATGTAGGTGCTCAGCCTCTTGGGAATGTCCTTCAGTGTTCGCACAAGCTAGTAGCTAGTGCTGGAGATCGGGGAGGACCAGAGGAGCTTCCTGTTGAGGCCGGGCCCAGGAGGGGTCAGCCGTGTCTCTGTGGATCCAGTGCCATCCAGGGAAATTCAGGGCGATCCAGGGGTCCATACCACGAACATCCCCGGCACGAAGGACATGCAAAGGAATCGATTCTGGAACCCCAAAACCACTTGTTTTTCCGCACCAGAAGAATGGTTGAGAAGCAAAAAGAACTATATAATAATAAAAACATCCTGGATGAAACCGAACACCCGTCTCACTTGGACCATCCTCCTCCACCAGTCCAACCCTACAAAAAGCACCTTATGTGATGAGCTCTGAGAGTCTGAGACTTCAAAAGCTTTCCAACGAAAAATTCCCCCATCATCCGATGATCAGTTGTTTTCAGGTTGTTTTTTGGATTTGCTCCATCCTCACAGCAGAAAGAAAGGGAGAAGAAAAGAAAACTACAAAACGTCTCTCCTCGCTTCTCCGCCGGATCTCTCCTCCAAGTTCATGTCTGACACTGTGACGCGGTCGCCGTCGACTTCCGTGATCACTAAGTCCACTTCCTGTGGCATGCAGCACGCAGGGTTTAAGGATCAGCTCTTCAACTAGTCCCTAGAGGTCAAGGATCTCGTTCTACTGGACTTGGTCATACAGAACCATGGTTCACTATAGTAAAGGACCAGGTTTTTACGGGGTCAGACTGAACTTGTAGGGAGTGGTCTTTCACCCAAACACGCCATCGAACGAGGGAACTGTGCTCGGCACTGCCAACATGATCCTGCCATTTATGTTAATTCCAGCGCCGGTGGATTTGGTTTCCACAGTCTCACCCATCTTCGGGGGCTCAAAGAAAAGCTGCGACTGGGACGCCAGCTTGCTGCGGTGCGTACTCGTCGGCGCTCTTGCCTCGGGTCACAACGAGCTACAGCGAAGGCTGTTTTGCGGTTCTGATCCAATCGGAAGAGCAGGTCAAGCGCAACCCCAAGGCCAAATGAAACATACATAGACAGACAGACCCGCCTGGACCCATCAGGTATAGTCATCCTACCTTCATCTACTGGACTAGTATCTGACTAGCTCCACAAGCTCCACAAGTAGAGGCCCAGGCTGGTGGTGAGTTCGAAAAGTCCATTGAACCTTTCTACTTTCAGCCTTCAATGCTCAAATCCAAGGCGATGCCTCCAAATGCAACCAAACCGCAGTTCTCTTTTAAAGCTCCTACAGGATTCTCATCACAAATGTGGCGAGGGAGCTCACAAGACTCCTCCTGCCTCTTGAGATGCTGAGACCCTCGTGCGCATCTAAATCCAACCAAATCGAACAAAGCGGCCACCTAACCCCCCACTCGTCCAGTAAGTCACTGCTGTATCCTGAGCGTCGGGCTCAGGAGTGGTGCGGGTGCCAAAACATCACTGCTGAATCCAGCGTCGAAGAAGATCCCCGCGCCGTTCTGCGAGCACGAGCACCGGCGGCCCGTACCAGCAGGTGAGCACAAGGAAAGCCCCACTAAAAACGCAACACCCGGAGCCTGCTCAGCCCACAAATGGCTTGGCATTCGTCATCACATGGATGAAAAAAATATGTACCAACTAGGCAGCTGACTGTTCTGATCTTCCTTCATCCCAAGCCGAAGGGGAAGTTGAATCTCCATTCCTTCAGGTCTGACGACTGCCCTTGGTTTCCTGGAGACCTCCGTCTGAAACACTTACAGCAAAGCTGATAGACAGAATTTCTGCTACACCCAGCGCACACCCAGCGCCCGACTTCTCTCTTGGACGGGACAAGTCCATCCAAATGGCTCAATCAGTAGATATCATTAGCGTTGGACGGTGGACTCTTCGAGCATGTTCCAGCAAACGAACTATCCATTGTTCCCCACCCATGCCGTTCACGGTACCCGACAGAGCCTGCAGCTTGGTCAGCACCATCCCCTTGACCTCCTGCCCCACCTTGGCCTCGGACCTCAGACGCGAAGGACTCGATGTCTGCAGGATCCGAAGGAGTGGAGTTCCACCCAACCCGACCAGTCACGCCCAGTCGAGTTGGAGTCGTTGGGGTTCAGTTCGACCTGGTGGGATGTCCAGAACGTTTCGGTGCCTAACCTCCCTCATTTACTCCTTCGGTCCTTTTGATCTGAAGGTGAAGTCGTCTGTTGGGAACACCGAAACAGGTGCTGTGCTGCCTCTAAGACGGTTATTCGGTGTAATTGAACTCGAGTCAGCTCATTAGCTCCGGCTCAGTACCGCCGTACCGCCCGAAAAAAATTGCATCTGAGCTGCGACAAAGGCCGCGTGGTGACTTCAATCTTCTCACCATCAATCTTTGCAATACGAAGGCCTTGGACCTTCTGCCCCTCCTGCAGCATGGCCAAAGCGGGACGTGCTGGGACGGCGGACGAGGCTGGCGGTGTGTGGGGCTCCAAAAAGCGGTTTCTGTTTCTAATGAAATTGCTTGCGGGCGCCTTGTAGTTGGAGAGCTCGTCATCTAGCTGGGCTGTGAAGCACAGGGCATCTCGTTCTCCGCCAATGTCGAAGAAAACACCGTACCTATGAACGATCAAGCAAAACCGGTGTCGTTATTCTGCAGACCCGCTTAAATTGAAGAAGACTCGAAAACAGATTTCACTTATAAGGGAGCAAAAACACGACTCCTGAGCAGCAATGCCCAACTTGAGCGGCGCACTGCTGGTTGACCCGTGCCACAGTGCCTCAGTGGCTTGTGTCAGTCTTTTTTCGGCTGCAAGAGTCACATCCAAATTCTTCATATTGTGCCGATACTGAGTTGATCTGACAAAATCATCATATCTATCACACCCATGGCTCGTGACGGATGTTGGTAGATTCGGCATGTTTGTCCTGTACTCAATGGTCCTTACATGCCATCAGCACTTGCTGCCGGTGCGCCTGTGACTGTCTGGCCGACCGTGAAGCTGGAAGAAGGGGCTGGAGCTTTCACGACCACGCCCACCACACCCACAGTCACCTGGCGAGACATCGCTCACTTGGTTGGGGGCCCCTGGTCCACGTCCGGCACGTCCTGCTTCTTTTCGGGACACCACGAGAGGTCTCGTGGAAACACCAGTGGATAGTGGATGGTCCTCAAGGACTGGGATCGTATGCGGGAGCTCGAAGAGGATCGCATGCTGGATCGTGGAGAGACCGAAAAGGCAACCCTTGTGAGGGCTCTTTTGGACCATGTTGAATCCTCCAAACTCAGAAGTCACATGGGAAGATTAGAAGTGGAAGTCCCTCTCTTGGAAGATGAGGCTCGGTCTTCTAGAATTTTGATGCTTTGCATTTGCACATAGAGGTGACCTCGCTCACGCTTTTGCTACTCTTGCATCCCAAAGAGTGTCAATCTTACATCCTTCCACAGGACCGGTGCCTTGTCACCGTCGATGCTCACGATTTCCAGCTCTACCTCCTTCAGAGGAGATATATAGACAATACGTGAAAATACAGAAAATCATCGAATCGGCATCGAATCTTCACATATCTTCACAAAGGCTACCAATTGTCTCCCTGCAATGTGTCTGGCAACACTGGAGAATTGCATTTCTTTTGTTGCAATGTATCCGCCTTCAAAGTTGCCGCTGGCAACATGTCTCTCTTACTGCGCTGGAAGATTCTGAAAGCAACATTGCTGTGGCCAAGGTGTTATATAATTGGGTTAGAACCCCAAGATCCGTGAAGCAAATAGAAGCCAAAAGAACACAAACCTGAGCTGCCGGTCCAGTCCATGGGCCCAATTTGTTGAAGCGCCAACTCCTCTCCTCATCCCTCTTATAATCAGAGGGTTTCTTCGTGAGCCTCGCCGAAGGTGCCAAGGCATCCCTGGAGCGCTGGCCGATGCCAATGGAGCCATCGAAACGGGTGAGCTTGGTCCCCCAGTGCACATTTGGTGGATGTCTACCATCAAGAAATCAACGGATGATATTCCCCCCACTCTGGAACTGCATGAATTTTCTTGTAACACGTCACTTGAAATCCCTGTCCACCCAAAGCAGTTCTGCGGACCGATCCGCTTGGCCCCCCACGGCGTGGACTGACCAGGCAGAGTCGGGGCCGGGGGGTGGGGCGACCGAAAAAAGGAGGCGCCGGCCTCGGGAGGCCAATGTCAAAGAACACGCCGTAGGTTTGGACGGCGCGCACCTTTCCCGTCACCTGGCGGGTGGGTGGAAAATCTCGACTTCGGACTGGAGGGGAGGAATTCTCGGCCACCGGGGGGTGTTCAGCGGGGCGGGGCGACATCGTCGTAAAGGCAGAAACCGGAGGGTCAAGGGCAAGGGGTCACAGCTGGGTGCAATCAGAGGCTCTAACTTGGATGAGGGCTGGCTTCAGTTGGATTCCACCATTTGGGAGTGAGTTATCCGATTGATGGACGACGATGAGTGCCGCGGGTGCCGGCGGGCATTTGAATCCACCAGTCAGTTAAAAGAAATCGCCTGGGTCCGCAGGTGAAGCACGTGAACCGAACACCAAAGGTCCTTCCATGGTGCCGGGCCTTTCGGCTTCGGTGTTCCAAAAAGAGACACCACGTCAGACACCACTACGAGAAAGGTACAAGTCTGGACTCAGTAATAGACGGCCTAAAGCCCACCCAGGGAGGGGCACCTTCACCTGATTCGGAGACAGAGACAGGCATAGACAAACAAACCTCACATGCGGCGCATTCCCACTGGCGAGAGCCGCGCGCCACCCTCCTTGTCACCCACCGCTTTGGACTGAGGCAGCTCCGAAAGCGTCACCCTGGCAGTTCCCGGGTGAAGTGGGGAGGGAGTCATCGAGTCATCACCAAAGCACGATTTAGCTGCTTGGACGGGCGAAAGGGATAGATGAAAAATCCGGATGCCGCTTTGGGTGGGCGGTTGATTCTTTCATTCCATACTTCCGCTCGGCCAATGAACTTGCAATCGTCCCACCACCAAAACTTCCGCTTCTCCGGTGGACACGGTTCCTCTCTCTCCGTCTTCCCCGTGAAAATCCACCGAAGCGAAGAAACACGGACCCGGTGTTTCACGAGCTTCGGGGACGTTCGGCGACGCCTGATCTTGCGTGAGGCGGGGTCGTCGCCGGTGGAGACCTCGCAAGACCGGAGGGATGGAGACCAGGTTGCTGGTCACGGGGGAAGGGCCGTTGGTGGTCGTTCGTACGCCTCCACACTCAGGTTCCTACCACATCTTGGGAAACCAACAGCCAGAAGATGAGCCGAACTCATGCACACCACAGGGACGAGAAGACATGAGGCTCGACCATTCGTCAACTCGCCGCCTCGAAGATCTTCAGCCCCGTGATCTCATCTCCCGCTTTGTATTCCTTATCCTCAGCTTCGCAAGCAGCACTCTCCTCCTTTTGCTTACAAGAAATTCCACAATAAATTCAACAAATCTTTGCACCGGGCCTTGGGAACCATGTTTTGCGGAAGCAAGGCATCCTTGGGCGGCTTTTCAAGCCACTGTGACGGACTTGGTGTCGAGAGGACAAGATCAAGAAGCTTTGGTTCGTGTTGATACGAAGTGGTGGCGAGAAGGACACCAAGCACAAACGACGTGGCCTTCTCCGCGCCAATATCGATGTAGAGGCCAATCTTCGCCACTCTGGTCACTGTGCCACTTCTCCTTAGCTGTTAGAACAGTTCAAAGGAGCTTTCCCTAGTGAAATGAGATTGTTTGAACTCATACCATCAACCAACCCCTTCTTATATAGTCATCATCACCCAACTCCGTCAAAAAGTAAGGCAAGGGTCTCTCTTGGAGGCCCTGGTCTCCGGAAGAAATTAGCCAAATTAGCCTCTTTCGAAAGGAGCGAACCCCCTGATATCCACCTACTTTCTCTATCTATAGAATCTATAGACTGTACTACTGTTAAAAGAAGATAAGACCGTAGCCCACTCCTCGATTTGCAGTTGCTGCCGCTTCTTCTAGGTTAATATTTCTGGAAGCGCTACTGGTCCTTCCACGGTCGCTTTTGCCTGCATCGCCGACCCATCGAGGGCCACGAAAACACACCGGCCACTCCCCAGGCGCTCGGGCTCTTCACCGACACTGAGATCCTCCAAGGGCGTCTTCCCCTCAGCCTCAGCCTCACGACAAAGAAAACTCCTGACCCGTCGGAACCAACGAGAAAACATGGGAAAACAACCTGCGTGCGTTTCCAGGGCTTTCATGACAACACGTAGATCCCCTCTGAAGTTCTTGGATCGGGAGACCCCCAAGACAAGTGTTTTTCCACAATTTTCCCTTCTTCCAGGTCCTTGCCTGGGAGGTCTCCCTAATCCACACCGTTTCATCCACTACCACCGGTCGTGCTTCGACGTCGACCAGTGGCACTCCGTTTGCCCGAAGCACTGGCCTGCAGGACGGTACGAAGACTGCGAGGTCTCCTTTCGGTGTCCAACGCTTCACGAAAGCAGCAGGTGAAAATCGCAAAGAAAACCCCGGCGTTTCCAAGAATGGTCCTCTGACCAAAGCCCAGTAAGAGGATACAGTATATAGATGAAATACTACTATCAGCCTTGCAAGCTTGTGTACAGCTCAAGTGGATTGATTGTCTATCGTACCCCAAAAGAGCTGTTGGTCCTTCATGGAAGTTTGATCAAGTTTAAACTACAGCAAGTCCAAACAAAACTTTAGCAAAGGTATGCTTCAAGCATTCTGACCCATGCCCATACAAGCACTGCCAGATGGCCCAATAGGTCCTGCAAAGAACATCTTAAGTCCTATTGGCTATTTGTGGCCAGTTGTAGACAGCACGGAACAGCCTTTGCCTTGGGGTGTGAGGTTCTCAAAACGAAGCTACAGAACTTCGGCCATGGAACCCTTGCATGGATTAGTGGTCCTTTGCATGCTGGCCGCTTTCGCAAGGAGTATCAGTGCAGAAGCACCGAAGACCAGTCGGCCTGCCAAAGGTCAGAATTTTAGTTGCAAGAAAAAAGAACAAAAGCACAGAAAAGCGGGGCAATGCTGTGGCAGGTGTTTGAACATGACAAGAGTTCTTGCTTGTCTCCTGGGTGAGACAAAAAGGCAAAAACACTATCGAATCTCTGCGACGAGGGTCAAATCTAGGCGGTCGGATCCGGTTCTGGTGCAAATGCCATGAAAGAAACAGCAGCATCAAACACTGAAGAATCTTGCGGTAGAGTTGGGGCGGAAGTTCTGCTGCACGCCGAGAAACGCAGCAGAGAGATAGAACGAGACGAAACACGCCGACAGCTGTCGGAAGAGCTGTCAAACCATAGACACGGCATCTCGCAATGTTCTGCGAGCATCAAGAATCAAGCCCCGTGCCCTAGGATTTTCCTCCAAATCTTTCACTTCTCAACAGACCAATAGAAAGGCTTCCCTCCGAGAAAATCCTCTACACTCCGCAATTCATCGCAATTCATCAAAAGGCCTGCATCCACCAGGTTGGCTGCAAGCTAATTTGGGTGTCAAACTGCCGTCTTCTCGGCTTCTCCCAACCTGCATGGTTCTGCTCCTCAAAGTCTAAGGTGTTGGCTCTCGCGCCCCGCAGGGCGGATCCAACTGCGCGGAAGGACGGGAAACAGCGGGCGATGGTGTGTTGGCTCTGGGTGAGAAAATGGCGCTCTGTTCAACTCTTCTCCCGTCAAGATCGATGGCCTGTTGGAAGGCCGGCGACACCGGACATGGGCCCCACGAAGGCATCGCGACACACCTGAGCTTCGGGGCCAAACACATCCCAACATCCACACCGAGGCGGCGGGCGGCTGTTCCCGCCGGTCCCAGTTCCCGCTTTTGGGGAGCGCCTCGTTTTCCAGTGATTCCCAGGGAATCCGCCCGTCCGTGGACATGCGTTTACTAGTTGAGCTGGTCAAGAAAACCACTCAAAACTTGGTAATTAGAGTGGATTTGCCAGCCACCGGATACCCATGTCCCCCGCAGTGACGAACCTTGAAAGCCGAAAGCTTCTCGGAGCGATAAGCTTATCACTGACAGATCCAGCAGTTCCCAGCCGGTGTCGAGAACCGGCCAAGGCAAGAACTTCCATTCTGAGCCGGTTCGTGAATCTTCTAGTGCAGCTTGACCACCGTGAAGCCGTGGAATGCCGCGAGCGCCACGAGGAACAGCACACCTGATGGTGGCAGGATGCGAGAAGCAAACCCCGCCAACCGGCCCAAAACAACATGTGGGTGTACATCTTAATAGGGGAGACCCCCTGGCCCGATGGGTAGACTTTGTGACGAACTTAGGCCTGTTTGTGTGTGTTTGGACCCCCCCGTGCCTGAGACTATTCAGGGAATCCTGAAACTATTGCCAGCTTAGGTAGAAACTATTTCTAGACTAGTAGGCATAGATCACATAAAGGCACCTCCCGAACCTTCCAGGGGAGGAACCGGGGTCGGTGCTTTGTGAGGTTTCGAAAAACTTTGGGAACTCATACACTGTGGAGTTGATAGGGCTGAGACCTTCCAAGGAACAGTAGTTACAGCATCACGGTGATGTTCCCAACATGGCGTCCGGATTTGCTCAAAGGGGAGACCCCAGTAAGAAGTATACCGCTTTCTTCAGTTCTACACAAAGAATGGAGATGAATGTACAGAAGATCAAAGATAGCTGCGGGAGTTCAACAACTCCCCATGCAAAGTAGCTCACAGCTGCTCTCCCTATTTGAGCTACACACCGATGTCAACTCCGCCTCCACAAACAAAATGTCCACCAGTTCGTCCACGGTCAACCGTATCAAAATGAGACCACCGAGTACGAGTCCCTGGTCTGCAAAAAATCACCGACACCATCCGACACCTGTTTTTCATGTCGAATAATGATTCATAAACCCCATATGAAGCAATCTTACGATCCATGTCTGTGGGGGTGATTAAATAATCAAGATTCTACATGATCCGTTTTTCAGGCAGAAGTTCTGTGACCGTGCCCGTCTGCAAGCACTCAAGGAGACTGGCATCTTCCAGTCGCGCCTGGGTTGAGGAGGCTCTTCCCCGGTCGCCCCGGGGCCATCATGATGAAGGACCTTGAGAGCGACCCGCTCAACGAATCTTCGGACTGTCTAAAGTTTGGGGACCTACGTGGACAATATTGGAACTGATGGTCAAGAAGACGTACCGGGATGGTTTTACATCTCAATATAGGGAACTATCTTGATCAACAGTCTAAAAGAGGGTGGCTGGTCGACCCGGTTTGTTCTCTACACCCCTTCATAGTTGAAGAATTTGTATTCGAACTGAAGCGTCGGGTTTCTAGGGTCCATGCCCACTCAGCCACGGAGTAGATCTGTGAACCAACATATGGCCAAAGGCAATCAATATCACTGACGGATGAGTCATGCACAAATGGCCCATGCCCGCAAAGCAACTCGAACACACAAATATGCACCCTCTTTTTGAGAGAATTGTTCCCATTTCCGAGTGATGATTCATAAGAAGTGTGAACATGGTAACTTCGATATGTGATATGTCACAAGAGAGAAACCACCTATTAAATCAGGAACAAACCAAGAACTGACAAGGAACAAACAAACGCTACAATATGTTCAATGACACGCTATCTGTATCAAAGTTAATGTAAATTATGATCCCGTTTCAGACCTAAGTCCATTTCTACTTCTGGGGTTCCCTGATTCCAAAACCCTGGAACACCTTTCATTGGTAGATGTCCGCTGTAGGGAAATTCCCGAACACGCCACATTACATATACGCAAAAAACCGCCGACTCCGTGCTGCTGCAAGCAAAAGCGCGCTCGGACAGGGTATCTTCGTGACTTGTTATGGTCATTGGTTCTTGCAGGGTGTTTTGGAGGCTGCAAAATCGGACTGTTCAGGTGAAATGCTGAGGTTTTTTTGTTCTCAACCACTGCGCGGTTTCAGCCATTGATTTCATCTCTCAAACGTGGTGTGCCTGGTTAAAGTTGAAAAACAACTAAACTAAACCACTCCAGCCGCCCATCTGAACAAAAATTGGTCGCACTGACCTTCAAGAAGTTCGGTACTTGTGCGCGGCGCTGGTGCCATAAGTGACACATCAGAAGCCTTGCTCCTCCAGCTTCACGCTCAGGTCTCCACTGCAACCCCTTTCCATTCTTGGTTTCCTTCAGGTAAATCCTGTGGTGTAATGTGTTGCTCTTGCCTGCGCCCGTGAACAAGCCAAGACCATTTCCAAGCCCCGTTAAACAAGCCAAGGCACTTCGCAACAAACAATTCCTGAACGAACTGTCAACAACTGGCGAGCTGAAGCACTTAAACGTTTCAACCAAGATGGACCTGGATGTGGGAACAATGCTTGCTGCGCTTAGCTTGGAAGCCGCGGCCGCTATGGTCTTTGCAGCGGGAATCATTTGTGGCAGCCTGCTGACCTGCTGCTGTCTGAGTCGGCGTCGTGAGCATGCTAATTCAGAGTCGTTTAAAGAAAGAACCTGCCACGGTGAGTAGTGTCCCATTGCCCAGTTCCATGGTGCAGTGTGAGAAGGTTTACTTCCCAGTGAGTGGGAGCAAGGTTCACTTGAATCCGTCTTGCTCAGGCATGGTTGCACCAATGTCGAAAGACTTGTTTTCGAAATGTCTGTCTGTCCTCACTGAAGAAGAATAAGAAGGCTTAATGTCAGCCTGTTGAGCCGGGCGAAATGTCCAAGAAGAGGTGAAGAAATCCATTTGTCGGATGGCCACCTCGCTCGTGTTTGTTGTTTTGTTTGGCTTTGTTGTTTTGTGTTGTTTGGTTGGTGTTCTGAATGGGAAACTGCCGGACTTTAACACTGTAGTTTGTTTCTTAATGTTTTGAAAAAGTTTTTTAGCGTTTTCTAATGTTTAGAAGTTTTTTGTAAGAGTTGCTTGTGTGTAGCATACAGATGTACAGTCTTTGAACCGACTGTGTTACTTTTGGCTCAAGTGTGAGCAAGAGAGCGCGAGGGAGTGCACGGGGTTAGCTTTAGTTGTTGTAGTCTTGAAGACTTTCGAGAGTGTGAGAACGAGTTTTGGAGTGTACCGGACTCATCTAGAGAGCCTGCTGTGAGCTTAAAAATCCAGGGGAAATGTAGTAGTGTAATGTACCGTAAGGTCTGCTACCCACGTTTTTCGATACTGACACCCGTGAGCCATCTAGCAATCCCTTCCCAGTCAGCATCGCACTCTTATACTGGCTGCTCTGCTGGTAGGGTCTGTCGTCTTGTTGGGTGTCAGGGTAGCCGTCATAATAGTATTGCCGTAGCTGATGTCTATCCATGAGTGTGAGCTCCTGTTTGGATGAAAGGAGGTACCATCCAATGCGCATCATGGCAGCCGCTCCTGTGTGCCTGTTCTGCTCGATTCTGCCTCGGATTCATTTGCGTTCGTCTTGGGTGGGGGATGTTTTGCTGTGGCAACATCCGACCACAATGGAACCTCTATGCGAAGCAGCATCCTAGCTGATGAGGGGAACGCCATCGACTGTCCCAGCGTGGGATCGAGCGCTCCCGATCCGAAAGCTCTGGCAGCCCACTGCGTGTCAGGCATCGCAGGCTCACCCTCATAGGCAATGGTTTTTCGGTAAGCACCGACCACCAGGTAGGGATTGTCTTGTAGCTGGTCCTTGGTCGTGCGGTAGCCTAATCCAGCGTCCAGCGTCGCAGGTCGGAAGTGGTTCTGGCCAATTGACTGGACCAGGCTCTGGAGCACCTGCACAGGGAAGTAGACATACATGTCATTAATTGGGAGTTCCTGCTGTCCATGTATCATCCCCCTTGCAAAGGACATGATGACAGTCTGCATGAGCGTCAGAGCATTTACTTCGCCTGCCGGGTCGTTCACCTGCTTGGCTGGGTCGGCCTTCTTATCAGCAGCACGCTTGTCCGCAAGTAACTTGTTTATATTGCAGGCACAGCACACCGAGCAGAAAGCAAGCAGGCCATATTGCCAGAATTGGAAGTCAGCATATAGGGCTAGGTGCGCCTGGTCAACAAAAGTGCATTGTGGGTGGCCATGGGCCAGGAAAGCGAACAGGTTGGCAAGCGGCGCTGCTAGTGCATTACAGATTACCAACAAATCTCCTACAAGATCTGCGTTCACCTGGTCCGGGATTTGTTATCTTTTAAACAAATTCTGCTTAGACAAACAATAATTCACATGTTAAACAATATTTTTTGCACGGGTCGAGGCGCTATGTGTGCAGAGGATGCACAAGTCACCTTAGGCTAGTAAAGAGAGAGATACGAACCAAGCAGCAACCCGAAACCAGAAAAACGAACCCAAACCAACAAAACAAACCCACCCAAAAGCGCAAGGTTCGTACCTCAAGTTGGCTGCGTCAGCCAGTAGAAAAGAGTGAAACAGGTGAGACATAGGGGCAATGAATTCAGGGTTTGCACTCTATGAGGTTCCATCACTCAGAGCACGGTGTCGCAGGGCATGGATGAGCAGTGCAAAATCCGAAAACCAAGACAGGTCAGAACACCCTTCTCAACCTCACAACTGTCACCATATCCACGAGGAAATGGCCGAGGAGATTGCCAGAGCAGGTTGCGAGGCACTTACGGCTCAGGGAAAACAACTGAGTCAACTGTCGAAGACTACAAGTCAACGAAAGCCAAAGACAGTGAAGCCAAGACAGACAGTGTGGTTGTGGGGTGCAAGTAAGCACCGTGCCGGCCGGACAGCATCTCCCCCACAACGGAGGAGAAGGCAGCCTTGCAACTCAGCAATGCGGCGGTGACTCCAAAACAGCTATGCCACGGGAGCCACAGAAAGGCAAAAGTTGCAAACTGTCCACAGAGAACTTTGTTGAACTTTGTTGAGCTGCCGGCAGGCGCAATGGCAGGAGGATCTTGAGTATCGATTGACGCCATGTAGGCGTGCCACTCTGATGCATTCTTGAAACACGCAAGCCCCATGAACTACGTGAAACAGGGTGAAACGCCGTTATCCTATGTCCTAGTCGCTATACAGATCTGTACTCTTTGTATCCATCCAGGACCGCCACTAGGGTGGCAGCCTGGGCACTGTCTAGCTACTCAGTGTTGCTGGACGATGTCATTTGGCATGTTCATGTTATTGACAGGACCTGCACGTGGGCGCAAGCCTGAGCAGTTAGTCCTTGCGCAGCTCCTCGTAAAAATCGTCAGCCCACCCCTCACTGCTATTGCTTCGCTTCGGTGGGAGGAGGTGGATCCACCTCGGGATGTCCAATTGACTGCATTTGTCAAAGGCACTGGATTCCGCATATGGCCCTCTCCAGGTAGTTCTGGCTTCTGGTTTGTGAAATGTGCACAGTTGCGTGCACCCTGCAAAGGCTCGTCGAGCAACATACAGCAAGGCTGGTGGGGCGTGTACCTCACGCAGCGACGTGCAGTTCAAAAAGGCCTCTCGTCCAATACGCCGCAGCTTGTTGGCAAGACTGAGCCGCTCCAATTGCGAGCAGTGTGCAAAAAGGTGGACCCCAAAATCTCACTAATATCTGTTCGTGAGAGGTCTACTAATTGCAATCGTTTGCAAAGCTCACAGGCAGCAGGTCCTATCCAAGTGAAGTCCGCTGGCAGGTGTAACGAGACGATCCCAGCCTCCAAGAAACAGCACTCGGGCAGGCAACGTGTCAAGTTTGCAGGTTTCTTTTTGCACGTGTCGAGGGGCTATGTGTGCAGGTTATGCACAAGTCACCTCAGGCTAGTAAAAGAGGGAGAAGTCAACCGGCCAACAGGAACAGGCAAACAAACAAACACCCAACCAAACAAACCCCAAAACCACAGCAACCAAGCAAGGCATGGTTCACTTCTCGAAAGGCTGAGACAGCCAGAGATTGGTGAAACAGATATCTGTCAGGCAGCAATGAATTCGTCCCTTGCGCTCAGTTCGTCTTCATCAGAAAAGTGCACAATTACATCGAACGAGGGTAGAAATTCGGCTGCGAAAGTCACTGTCATGGGCGACAAGGGGGGCGAAACCATCGCCCTTCATGTTTCAGTAGAGAGACAGCATTGTCAGGCATTAGGTAGCCGACACTCTATGCACGGTGGACGAAAGGTGGCACACAAGACAGAATCGGCAATCATCATCTGACGGATATTGCGACTCAAGGAAAACAGCTGGATCATCATCAAACGAAAACTTCAAATCGTCGAAGGATGAGCCCAACGGAGCCATTCAGACAAGGCTGCAACCAACCGAGAGCGTATGTCGAGACACCACGACCCACACCCCCCCGAAGGGGGGGAGAGCACGAGGGATGCAACGGCAACATCCACAAACAGCTTTGCAAAGGGAAGTTGCAGAAAGGCATTGTTCTCGCATCTCTCCAAGGGCCAACACGGGTCAAC